GTATAAGAGAGCTTTAAGAGTTTTTGTGAGAAGGTAACATTTAGAACAAGTAGCCACAAAAGGTTGCAGTAACTGGATACAAACTTTTTTTTGAAACTTGTGGTATTTTAATGGGAGCGGCGCAATTTAATATAAAAGCGCGACGTATATAATATATATATATATATATATATATATATATATATATAATATATATATATTGGGGTTTTTGTTCGAATGAACAGGAGAAGGGCAAGAAAAAACAAAAATTTGGATGTTTTGTTTGAAGATCAGTAGAGGGCAACAAAAAAAAAAAAAAAAAAAAGGGCAGCGCGGCGTTAATGGAGGTTGAAAGGAAAAGGGGCGGCGGCTAGGGCTTCTTCGTAAGAAGAAGCTGCTGGCATTGCCAACAATTCCCATCTGGTCTCCGTCATGTTTTAAATTTTTATTATTTTGACCCCTGATCTTTAAGTTTTTTATTTTTTTGACCTTGGATCTTCGTTTCATATATATTTTTAACCTCTGAACTTTTAATTTTTTATATTTTTGACCCAGGAAAGTTATCAGTATATGTCCGTTTTGGCGCCCCTTTGAAGTTATTTAAATTATAAAAGGTGACCCTGATTGTTTCTGTTTTTATTTAAAATTGCCTAGACTATTTTCGTTTTTGGCAATTTGGCCCAATAGTTTCTGTTTTATCAAACATAGTCCAAAAACGTTCTGAAACTGCGAAATTGCCCCAGAATTTTTTTCTGTTTTTGCAAGATTTAAACCAGAATGTTTTATTTTTTTGCCATTAACTAGACCCCAGAACACCTAAATTTTTAAAACATTTTGTGCGAGACCAGAAAAAGTGGTGTAAGTGTGGTGTATTTGTGCAATATTATTTGAGTTCTTATAAAAAATATCCATTATTTGTGCATAACCTTTAATTGTATTATAATTAATTTTATTTTAAATGTGAGTAGTCTCTAGATATTAATTTTGAGTGAGTGGTTTTTATTACTTTTCTAGTTTTAATTATTTGCATTTCTTCCCATTCGGAAAGATGTCATTGTTTTTAATATAATTACTGAGCTAGGTTCTAGATTTGTCTGTATTGATTTAAACTCCTCCATCTGAGTTAAATTTACATTAGTGACATGTAATCAGATGTAATTATTTCTCACACATTTAATACTTGTTTAATTTAAGAGGCATGTTATCTCCCATTCGAGTAGTACTGTGCCCGAGCATGGTTCTTATCTAATTATAATATTTGCAAACATGTGATTGGTGAATTCTCCCATTCGAGGTTGGCTATTCATGAATGTTGTGGAATATGTGTATTTTTTTTGAATTGTTGGATATCATTTTTGCGTATATTTGCAATTGATTGGATTTATTTCAGATGTTTATTATTGATAGCTATTTTTGTTTAATGCTATGAATAATAGATAAATGCATCATTTGGCCAGTTCCCCTTGCAAATACATCTTAACCCAAAACAAACTTGAGGGGTCCACTATGTTGACTGGAAGAGGAATTTGGGACATTTTGGCTTACTTTGCTGAGCGAGTATAAGTTTTGTGCTTACTGAAGTTTGTCCTGAAAAACCCTCGTGGTGAGGGTGCTCTGAGGAGTCATAGAGGCCCCCTTACCAGACAATGGGTTTAACGAGGCTGTATTGAGATGGCTCTGCGGAATGTTAACGTATCTTTTGGTGCCTTGTCTGTGTGTAAATAATATTTTTTTTGCAACGGATCCAGCATCAGAAGATGGACAACACAGCTTTGAAGCAGTATTTAAAATTGTCTCGATAAAATCTCAAGTGGAGATGTTATGCTGAGATCAAATTAGTTGCAGACAAGCAAAACGCACTGGAGGGAGATTCTTACTTCCAAAATTATTGGCTGAGGGAGGGAACTCCAGTTATTAGAACTTCAAATGTCTTCGAAGTTATGACTGAGTCTTTGAATAGCATGGCAGCGTTCTTGGCCTGCTATAGAAGGTTAGGAGCAATGCTACACAAGATAGAAATGATCAGGTTGAACACTTTAGTCCAACCAGGTTTTCTTAGTACAGTTTTCGCTCGACCTTTTGAATCTTATAACTTATGAAACATTAGGATGTGAGGGATTTCCACATCTGTCTATAAGTTGCTGATATGAGCTTTGTTGGCTGCTGAGACTGAATCTGTTACAACAAGCAAGCATGCACGCTGGTTGTGAGGCATTAATGGTGGGACCTGTGTCGGAGGGGGGTGAGCGAGGTTCTTCTTCTGCCCAGAACAAGGGTAAGAAGAAGAAAAATGCTCACAAGGCTAAGCCTAAAACAAGTGCTGCATCTACTAGTGTAAGTGTTGCTGTGAAAAAGCCTAAGGGTAAGTGTTTTCATTGCAAGCAACCTAGGCACTGGAAGTCACAATTTCCAACATGGTTAGCCAAGAAGAAGCAAGGTATGTCTCTGTTTTATATGCTGATAGTTGAAACTTGCTTAGCGGTGTTGACTACACTCCAATGATGTGTAGATTCTGGAGCCACTAATCATGTCTGCAATTCATTGCAGCAGTTTCAGGTAACTCGTCAGCTAAATAAAGGAGATGTAAGCATTTTTAGATTCATAGATGGTGAAAGGGCCAGCTAAATCATGTCTGCAATTCATTTTCGAGCAGTTTCAGGTAACTCGTCAGCTAAATAAAGAGATGTAAGCATTTTTCTGTGGGAGGGATGCACTAAAAGTTGTCTTGGCGTTCTAGCTTAATAAGGAAATGTTTCATACTCCTGGAATTTTTGAGAATAAAATTTAAGAACCATTGTTTGAAGGATGTTTTATAATTGTACCCTTCCAAATAGATAGGGCAAGTGTCTATATTTCACGTGTTCTAGCTTTTGAGCAAAGAATGCGAGCCTTCGGTTTGTTTTAATGAATTTTATGATGATTCTGTCGTTACTTTAAATTTAGAAAACAACATCGAATATGTTCTGTCTCACATGGATTTGATGATTCTTTTTATCTCCTCAAAAGTTTCACCTTGAACTGCCCCAAAATTTCCTAATTTCTGAAGTTAATAACTTTTGGATGTCATTGTTCCATTGAAAAGAAAAACATTCTATTGGAATTTAGTCATACCTATTTGTGGCATTTATCGGCTTTGGTCATATCCAACTTAGATAGGATTTCTACGGTTGGCAAGCGATGACCATTGAGTTATTGAAAGTGGAGGCACTACCACCTGTGAATCTTGTTTAGAAGGTAAAATGTTGTTTAGAAGGTAAAATGACTAAGAGGCCTTTTCCTATAAAGGGTAATAGAACTAATGATGTACTTGAATTAATTCATTCTGATTTGTGTGGTCCAGTGAGTGTCCAAGCTAGGGGTGGTTTTGAGCATTTTGAGACTTTCACAGATGATTATTCAAGATATGGATACATTTACCTGTTGCGTCGTAAGTCTGAATGCTTTGAGAAATTCAAAGAGTTCAAGGCAGAAACGGAGAAACGACATGGAAAATATATCAAGTCGTTACGGTCTGACCATGGTGGCGAATACCTCTCTAGGGAATTCATGTGATTCAACCATTTATTTATTTATTTATTTGTTGTTGTGTCAGTAACTAAAAGGTAAATACCTCTCTAGGGAATTCATTTACTTATTTATCAGAACAAGGGAATTACTGTTCACAGTTGTTCTGCACCTGGTATGCCACAACAGAATGGTTTGTAGGCAGAAAAGGAAGAAATAGGACCTATGAGTTGGAAAAATTGATCTTAGTTATCAATGATTGTGTTTTAATATCAGAATTTTTGCTCCATGTGTCGATTTTCGGTGTGAGCGAATTTATGCCATAGAAAACGCCAGCATTATATTTGAATATTATCGTTGTTCATCCTAAGTCTATTCAGCTCAAACTCTAAACACTCCTCGAGAACTGATTGTAACTCCCGGCGAAAAATGCCAAGTCTAAGACAATTTCGCTATGTGGGTGTGAAGTCACCAGCCCATGTGCTGAAAGGGTATAAGCCACATAAGTTGGAATCAAAAAACAGACCTTATGCTTTCTTTATTTGGATATCCTAGGAGGAGGATCACAAGGACGCCAGTGAGGCTTTAATTATGTTATTAGTGTCTACAAGACTCAAAGACTACGGTATCATGTTTTTATTAGCAACCATATGTGCACTCATCCAATATCTTGAGGAAAGAAACTAATATTTAAACAATGCGAATTATTACCCAAAAGAGTAGATTAGACACTTGTATGAATTTGAGAGAGAAAAAAATAACACAAACTAGAAAACCTTTCCAATTTAGAAACAAACAACCATAAACCATACACATCGTTGGCAAGTATAGAAACAATGTCCCATTTGCCATTTATGTCGTTAGTGGTAAACGAAAAATTGTTAGTCGACTTAGTAAATCAACATCAGACCTGAATATTTCAATACCTAACCATTTTCACTACCACCTGAAAGTAGTGGGAGTTTATGTAGAAACTGAAGGGATGGGGGCAAGCTCTATCGTTGATCCCAAATATACCCAGTAGAGCCAAAATGTGTGGGAGACACTTTTGCCTAAAACGTTCATTGCCTCCTATTCTCACCTTGGTATTGCATTGACAGACATGTGGATAGTTCCAGAAAAACATGATTTCTGATGATAGATCTCTCCCGACCACAGATACATGGAACTTTGCCGGCGCTTTTGACCGCAGTCCTACACAGAGCAAAAGATGATAGTGCTATTGTGATTGCGAGAACCTTGGTTAAGCTGGTGATGACAGACATGTTGAAGTTCCAGAACATGATCAAGATGTAGTCCCACCAGTCATGGACTTGCCGGCTTTACAGCCACAACAAAATGAAGGTGTGATTGCAGAACCTGTAGTACTTCGTCGTAGTGGGAGAATTAGACAATCACCGGTTCGATATACACTTTTGGGAGAAGCTTTTGATAGAATCCCTGAAGAAGTGACTATTGAACCTGTCTGTTACGATGAAGAACTATAAGATAAAGATGTTGATAAGTGGCTTGTAGCTATGAAATCTGAGATGGAGTCCATGTACTCTAATCAAGTCTGGGAACTTGTAGAACCACCTGAAGGTTAAACCCATCGGGATGCAAGTGGATCATAAGAAAAAAGAGGGGTATAGACGGTAAAAGTTGCAAACTTAATAAGGCAAGGCTTGTTTGACGAAAGGGTACTCAGAAAGAAGGGATCGATTATGAGGAAACTTTTTCGCCGTAAGCCATGCTAAAGGTCTATTAGAAAACTCTTTCATATCCATTGCAGCTCATTATGATATGAGATTTTGGCAAATGGATGTCAAGCGACAGCTTCTCCTAAATGGAATCTTGATGAAATGCATCTATTATGAAAGCAAACCTGAAGGTTTTCATAAACAATGACAATGAAAAATTCTGCTTTGGCAAATACAATGGACAAGAAAATTTGCTTTGCAAATTGAATAGGTCCATTTATGGGCTTAAACAAGCATCTAGGTCATGGAATACTTGTTTTGACCAAGCGATTAAAAGTTTTGGCTTTGATCAGTGTCATGATGAGTCTTGTGTGTATTAGAAATGGAATGGTAGTAAGGTTGTTTTTTGGTACTATATGTGGATGATATTCTGCTTATAGGGAATTGTGTAGGTATGTTGAATTCTGTCAAAGATTGGCTGTCCCAACGTTTTGATATGAAGGATTTGGGAGAGGCTGCTCATATTCTTAGGATTAAGCTTATGCGAGATCGCAAGAAAAGGATGATTGGCTTATCTCAAGCACTTTTTATTGATACCATTCTTGCTCGTTTCAGCATGCAGGATTCCAAGAAGGGTTTTCTTCCCTTCAGACATGGAATCACTCTATCTAAGGACCAATTTTTTTTCAATTTGATGTCTCCTAATGACATGGACTACCGAAATATCAAATGGGACTGATTGGGACCACAAACGCCTATGTGTTTGCACACGTGAACCTACTATTTTTAGATGTAAACAGACCTGATATCTGTTTTGCTGTTGGCATGGTTAGCAGATTTCAATCTAATCCTGGGCGAGAACACTGGACTGCAGTCAAGCATATTATCAAGTACTTGAAAAGGACTAGGGATTATAGGTTAGTTTATCAATCTGACGATCTTGTACCCATTGGGTATACAGATTCGGATTTTCAGACTGATAAGGACTCTCGGAAGTCAACCTCTGGTAATGCTTTTGTCTTGGGAGGTGGAGCCATAAGTTGGAGGAGTATTAAGCAAACTTGTGTTGCTGACTCCACCATGGAAGTTGAATATGTGGCAGCTTCTGAAGCTGCAAAGGAAGCTGTATGGCTTAGGAACTTCCTTATGGATCTAGGCGTAGTTTCTTCAGTGCAATTGCCAATCACCTATTATACTTTGCTGTGATAATAGTGGGCAGTTGCAAACTCAAAGGAAAGGAGCCACGGAGCCATAAAAGGGCAAAACACATTGAGAGGAAGTATCATTTGATACGAGACATGGTTCAAAGGGGAGATGTGGTAGTGACAAAGATTGCATCGGAAAACAACCTGGCAGATCCTTTTACAAAAAGCTTACCAGCAAAGGCTTTTAACAGTCATGTAGAAGGAATGGGAGTTAAAGTTATTGATGCATGGTTATGAGTCTAAGTGGGAAATTGATAGAGATATACTATTAACCATGCATATGTAATAGTATAGCTATGAATGATTTTCTATTGACGATTATTTCTTTGTATTTAATTGGAAATGAATTGCATTAAATAGAATGTCTTTAGCCATGATGACAAATAATCTGTGGATATACATTTTGTATGTAATTTAATTGGACCAAGTAGAGAATGCATGTTCAGGTACTGACTGTTAAACATTTGATTTCTCCTAGAGACGATTTTAGGAAATAATGTTTATTGTTCTTTAATCTTGATTATTTTAATTCTCTAGGACATTAGAAATAATGTTTATCGTTCTTAATCTTGATTTATTTTAATATGAGCAAACATTGATTGTCTTGTGCTTTGATTCATTAAAGGGTGAGTTTCATTATTGGAATAATGTTCTCGGTGAATTGGGCAAAGATATATTGTGTTTGTGAAATATTAATTAATGATAGAATCCATGTCTCGGTTTAGAGATTGATGATGCACTTTAAGTAAGTTTATAAGGTTTCATAGTGTAAATCCTATAGGTGGATATTGAATACACATGAAATAAGTTGAGCGACAATCTTAAAGTTATATTGTGATTTAAATAAATTGTCAGTAAGTTATTTAAATGACAGCATCTTTCTTACAGTGGACAATTAATTTTATTATGTTGTGGAATTGTAAAATAAATAAGGAGGTCAGGTCATGAGTTTTTAGTAGGAATATTCAATGAATTAATTATAATATGAATATGCGTGGTCTAATAGGTTCTACCATTATACATTTAGTCAGCTCTGAATTAATTTTATTCCTGCCGTCCTCTCCTCTTGATGTAGTGCCCTAATTAATTTTGGAAAGTTAAAGGTGTATTAATAAATAGATAAAATTATTTAGTTTGAAAAATAATTGATAACTTAGTTTAATTAACAATTAATTTTTTATTTAATTTATTTTATATTAAAAAAATATCTTCCCGTCATCCGATAGAGAGGTTTTTTTCATATCAAAGATTGGAAAAACCCTAAGAATTAAGAGACGCCACCCTTATTCATTATTCTCGTACCACTTCAGAGGAGTTCCAAAAGAGAGAAGTTAGGGATTACTGGCAGAAGAATCGTGGGGACATCCAAGATCTCTTGGAAAGAAGACCGGTGAGCGAACATTCTGCGCCCCTTCAAGAAGGTCAATTGATTGTTTGTTCGATAATTGTTTTTGTTTGCCTCGTTAATGGTTTCGTTAAGGTTGTTGTCCGCTTTAATACTCTGGAAAGAAGACCGGTGAGCGATTCTGCGCTTCAAGAGGTCAATTTATTGTTTTGTTCGATAATGTTTTTAGTTTGCCTCGTATGGTTTCGTTAAGGGTTGTTTCCGCTTTATACCCGCTCTCATCAAACACAACTTTTGCCACGAAAACCAGTGAATTCTACCACCACCCGCACCATCGTTTCTCCACCAGAATCTGTTCATAGCATTCTCAATAGTAGTACAATATTCGTTGGTAATAAAAACACAGTCATTAAATAATTCGGAATAGCTTGTACTGCTGTTTTAAGCAACACCTCCTTTCCAGCTCGTTATAGAAGCTTAGGTTTCCAGCCCTGTAATTTTTTCCAAACCTTATCCAGCACATAATTAAAAACCTCCTGCTTATTTCGGCCAATAACAGACGGTAAACCCATACTTTCTTGGTATGGACACTGTAGAAACTCCCAATAAATCAAAAATTAATTGTTGCATAGAAAAAGCAGTGTTACGACTATAAGAAATTTCTGATTTATTAAAATTAACTTGTTTCCCTAACGCTTGCTGGTATAGTTGAAGACAGTGTTTGATAATAAAAGCTTCTGCCACCTCTACCCGAAAAAAAATATAACCCATCATCAGAAAAAAATAGATGCAACATGAAAGGCGCACCCCTGGCTTCGAATATTCCATGAAGCTGACCACGGTTCTCAAAAGACTTAAGCAAAACAGATAATCCTTCAGCCACTATTAAAAATAAATATGGTGATAGCGGGTCGGCCTAGCGAAGTACCCGGGAAGGAATTATTGGTCCAAACCGTCTACCAGCATGAGTAATATGATAACTCACTGTGGTAACCATGCGCATTATCTTTGCAATAAACTCCTGACAGAAACACAGTCGTAGCATCATAGCTTGCAGGAAACCTCATTCAACCCCGTATAAGCTTTGCCCATATCTGTTTTCAACGCCACATACCCATCTCTCCCTTTAGTTTTGCAATAAAGCCAATGATTTAGCTCAAAAGCAATCATTACGCTGTCGGTAATTAGTTGTCCTAGGATAAAATCACTTTGAATATCTGAAATCACAGAGCTAAGACATACCTTCAATCTATTTGCTAAAACTTTATGTCATCCAATAAAACATGAGAAATATGAAGTTTCAAATAAATTTCAGAGAATTTTATAAAAATGATTCATCAAAAAATGTCTTGTGAAACCAATATGTTAGACTTGTGAAAGAAATGAAGGAATATGATAATAGACATTAATACCCTACCAGACTCGTTGTTTCTGGGATGTAGCTGGACACAATTTCGAAAAAACTGGTCCAATCGAATAGGTTTGTTTCAATTAGATTTTGGATTATTTAGAAAAAACAAAAGAAAAATTTCAGTTCGGCTTTATTTTTATTAATCTTAAAAAATTAAGAGAACACTAAAAAATTGAATTGAACCAAAAAAAAAATCAAACCGGTTGATTCTAGATAACTTTTCGATTTGGTACAGATGACTGAATCAGTTCCATTTAAACCGAACCAACTGAATAACTATTCCTAATTGCTTGTCTTGCTTGTATTTGCATGTACAGCCGTAAAAGCCATCATGTAATGAGCCCAATAATAAAAACGTTGTCTCAGCCACAGCCTCATTTAAGCAGTACAAATAGAAATGGGCCCAAATTAAAGGTACACTGCTCTTGGGCTTTTAGACTTTAATTGGAAACTCTCAAATTATGTTCCTTTCAAAGGTTAACTAAGAGGCTTTTACTAGTGTATAGATATTGCAATAATTCTACATTGGTATAGAATATTCTATAATCGACACGTGTCTAGAGAAATTTGTTGTAATAAATTACTTAACTTGTGACTCTTAACTCTGTTTTTATCTATATATTTTTTAATTTTATCTTTTCATTTATCTTATTTATCTTTTATCTTCTATCTTCTAACATATTATAAAAAAAATATTCTTTTAAAAAAATATATATTATAAAAAAATATAAAATATTTTAATATAAACGTATGGCAATTATGTATGTACACACAATTCATTAATATTAAATTATTTTGTGATAATGGATTGTATGAAGGACAAAAAATATATAATATATTATTTTAAAGTAAAACTTAATTACAATCTCGAAGTTTATAAATTAAACAAAAAAATAATGGACATGAATAATATAAGATTTATTATAAGTACAAAATATAAATTCCAATTTACAAGTTAAAGGTCGTAAAATTTATGCCATTTGAATCTTTTATGTTACATGAACTCTAAAATTAAATAAATTTTATTTAAAATAAATTATGAGTATATAAAATTATATTTGATTTATATAATTATAACTTCCTTAATTTAAAAATATTTTTAAAAATAATGAGATGTCATGTATATATAATATAATTTCAATTACATAAATAGATCATAAATGTTTAACAATAACTCAATAAGACAAGTTAAAACTTTATTATTATTTTATAATTTTAAATAGTTTATTTATCAGATAATTATTTACTTTTGAAATTTTTATTTTTTTATAGTTGTATTAAAAAGAGTTTTTTTTTTTAATTTACACTATTAAATAGTAACTTATATATTTAATAGAAAAAGAAATATTCTATTTTTTGATAACCTATTTTACAGTTAATAAGTCATTTGATTAATTTTATATCTAACAGTATATTTCATTAGTTTAAATCATCTAACGGTGGGAAGAAATCTATATTGGTACAAAAAATTTCAATTCTGTAGCCTAGTTTCACCCTAACTAAGGTTAATGGTCTATACCTTATAATAATGAAAAAATTATAATACGGTCCATATAGTTTGAGAAATATAATTAATAGACTATTATTTTTTTATATTTTGCTTCGGTTATACTACTAGGTCCTTATTGTATAATTTTTGCATCTTTTATTAAATGATGAAAATATCTCTTTTATATTTTCTCACTTTGGTATATTTTTAAAAATATAGGGACAGATTAGTTGTAAATCTTAAACTACAGGGATCATATTATAATTTTTTTCGGTATTAAAATTTTAATATCTCTCATTTGACCTCTATTTTTCTTATTGACTTAATGGACAAGATACAAAATGAATAAAATGACCTAGTAATATAAGGGAAGCAACACGTATATTTTTAATAATGCAGGAACACTTAGTATTTGACAAAACATAGACATGGTATAATAATTAACTAGTAAATATGCCCAAAAGAAAAAAGAGCATGACAACTGACACTACTTAATATTTTTAAAGTCAGAGCAGCCAATTAATTATAATATTTTAAAAAATTTTTTAATCATTTTCAATAATAAATCAGGTATAGTTTGGTGATGTTTTTACCAATATGAAGGGTCGAAAGTCTCAAATTTAACTTATTGACCACAAGAGTTTTTACCAATTTGGTAAATTAAGGAAGTACTATCTCAAGTTATATAATCTATAACGTTATTCCAATCATTTCAATCTCTCAATGAAAAAATTAATTTTAATAAATTTCAAATTA